AGAGAGTGTGCATTTATCATTAAGTCCCGAGGTTGGGACCATCAAATAGCATGCATTTAGGGAGACTGTGCATTTAGGGAGAGTGCATTTAGGGAGAGTTCACTGTACCTAAGTTATATTAATATCAACTTATTATTATATATATTAATATCAACTTATATATAGAATATAAGTGGTATAAGTATAAATCTAAGTATAAATGTATACTAAATGTTACTTAATTAAATATATATATTAATATGTTAAAGTTAACATTTACTGCACAAGTTTGATGGTTCGTCTTTATTAAACAAACGCTCTTGGAACGAAAAAACTATTTATAATGCTTCGGGTGCGTTATTCAGGCGATTGATCGTTTAACGTCTCCTCTCGAATTCTTTGTCGATCACTTGGTTTGCAAGAAACAAGAGGTCGATACATACAACAAATGTTATCCCCCAAAAGAGAAGTCGACACATACCAAAAAAAAATGCTATCCCCAAAATTTTCTTTCTATTTCAGAAAGGAAAAATAGAAAATCTTCTATTTTACTCACACTATGTACACTCTCACGAGTTCATCGAGCCAATCGAATTTGGAAATTGCAAATATAAATTTGGTAATATATAGCAAAAAGGATAATACCATCTAGCCGTCTGAAGGTTGATGGATCGTCTTACCCCCCCCCCCCCGACGGCTCGATACCAAATTTGGGGGTCGTCTAAAGCGGGGGCAACACAAGAAATCAGTCCAATTAAATTTCAAAGATTGGCGAAGTTAACCAATCTAATTACAAGATCATGTGTAACATATAAAGTTCAAAAAAAAGAAAATTCAAAATTTTACTATAATAACTAGCCTTTGACTTCTAAGTAAAAATGTTCAGCATGAAATTTCACTCATATGTATTAAATATCAATAACTTAATTAAAAAATTGTTATTAATTTGATGATTTCATGTATTTGCCCCCGCTTTAGCCATCCCCCAAATTTGGTCAAAATAACCTTTTAAGGACATATACGTAATGGTTTACAGTGAATAAACTTTGGGTGATTGGTGAGCGTAATGTTTTCGATTATTACCTTCTTCGTAATATAGCTGCTGAGCACTATCTAGCCAACGATAAACCGATTTCTAAATTCGATTGGCTCGATGAACTGGTGAGAGCGCCCTATACTTGATTCGGATAACGCAAATGGCATAAACAAATTTATCGTCACTATTATAATTATGCTTATATTGCAATAACTCAATTAGATGACGTTAAATGGTGACAATATAAACAAAATAATGCGTTAAAAAGTACAACTAATGACATTGTAATGACCGTTTAATTGTAAACAACATATGGATCAAATTCGTATATAAACCTGTAGTCAGACGTTTGTTGCTTCAATTTTCCACAAAATTTGTGTTATACTGAAGCACATATTATGAATGCAAGAATCTGTATGTGGGAATTTTGAAATGTAAACCCGATAACATCAATGAAACTTGATAACACATATCAAAGTGAAGATGACCTTGTCTTTATTTTATTCAAGAAAATATAAACGCAATTTGATATTATCCGACGTGTAATCTAAATAAGACTACTTTTGACATTGCTAAGTAAATTCCTGATTATAATTTTACAATTATTGTTAAATTAACTCATAATCCCGTTCTTTTTTTTTTTAATAAAAACAATCAGGTTACAACGCAATGCGAAGTGTTGATATTTAAATCCAAGTGGGGAAAGTTCCCGTTTGTATAATGTTAGAAGTAATATATTACTTTATCCAAACGTATTGGTAGTTCATACCATCAAACTGACGTTTATGATATTACGCTACTCCCACATTGAACCAGTCACTGATAACCAGACAGATATCATACTAAATACATTAAAAAATATTCCCGTCTCAATAGTAATGATCCCATCTTGGTAACATGTATATGGGTAAATCATTAAAAAAAATTACCACACTATAGTAATAGTACATGTAAACATTTGCTAATAAGTGTTACACAAAATTATGACTTGCACCACCACAACGGTAATTTAAACCACTCTATATCTATCAAATTACACACATAACATAATATACGAGTGAGTGCAATATACATCGATCACATAACAGGAATAACACTCAATAACGTAAATAAACGGCAGTACATCCTGAACAGTCAATCATTACATCAATTTTTGCAATAAGTATGTCGATGTAAGTAAACAGCAATTACATCTGAACAGTCAATCATTACATCAATTTTTGCAATAAGTGACAGTCAATCATTACATCAATTCTTGCAATAAGTGATGTCAATAAAACATTATGCACTATCCGCAACGAAAATATGGTAAGGTAAATATGAACCCAATACACCTTAGTGTCGATTAATTATTCAGGCTATATATAATTTTCTCACGATGATTTACAAATTTGTTCGACATACGCCGAAATTACACACAAACGTCGCATTCAACATACATTGATCCCATAACAAGAATAACACTCAATGGCGAACAGTCAATCATTACATCAGTTCTTGCAATAAGTGATGTCGATAAATGCACTATCCACAACTAAAATATGGTAAAGTAAGTATGAACTCAAATTACCCAATATCTCACTTTGTTTGATGTAAATTAAATTACACACATAACGTAATGTACGAATGCAACATACATTGATCCTATAATAAAACAACACCCGATGACATAAATAAACAAACCATTACATCGATTTTGCAATAGATGATGTCGATAAAATTTATAACATTGAAACCAAACGTTTGCGAATTTCCTAATTCTTAGCGATAAGTAATGTCATACACCAAACATTAACCAGACACTGAATTATTTTCCCCAAACATAGACACATGTATGTACTAATTTTGCATACATTTTAATAGTAACCAATTATTTCTGTGCAATATACGAATACAGTATAACATAATTCGACAAATAGTATAAAACCAGCAATCTTTTACTACAAAAAAGTAACTCAAAAATAATCCAAAAAGGCCGTGCAATTTCCAAATTGGACAATGCTGGCAACTTTCAAAATTTACAGTTTTGTCAATTTTTACCAGACAATAATTCAACCATTGACAATTCAGATTTTTAAGACAAACAGCAGATAAAGTTGCAATCAAGAAGATAACAGAGATTGAGCAGTTCTTCAAAGAGAGCTTCTTTGCTGCAATCAAAGAAGGATGTGGTACAGCAGAAAATCAGGGATTAGTTATTAGTAAGTACTTTTTAACAGGTGTTTTACCTGCATTTTGAAAAGGGATCAGTCACTTCATGACACTGAGGACATTTCAAGTCAACTTGAAGTGCATGGCATATGTGGTTTTACAGACAGGGAAGTCAAGTTATGGTGACAGACTATCTTCACAAAACTGATGAGGAGGCTGAGCATATTGTCACTACCATACTAATACAGCAACTGTATAATGGATATGTCTTCATTAATGAACTATCGACAACCAACAGACCTGAAGCTCTTTACAATCCACAACTTGTTTTTCACTTCTTGCATGAGTTTGCTAGCCATGGTTATGTTGCCAGACCAGATGAGCCAAGTACAGTTCATTCAACACATGTCCTCAAAACAATTGCTAACATTGGGGGTGGAGGGGCATTTACAGTGGATGATTTGATTGAGCTGATCATACATGGATCCATCAAATCAAAAATTGTCAACGAATTTGGTTTCATTGACCTCCTTGAAATTGGGTGAGATCATGAGTGTACATGGTCTCTCCTTTTGTACTTTGGAATTCTTACACGTGGCACCAGTGGAAGGCTGTATATACCAAATGAGGGATGAAAAATGAGGTATGTGTCTCTTCTTAACAGTTGCTTTACTATTACCATCACAAACCTGTATATTGTTGTTTCTGTATTGTCCCTTACAGAAAGGCTAATCCATGTGCCTTTTTATTTTAAGATTCTGCAACGAATCACAAAATATTTGCACACCTGCACTGACATTGGCCACCAAATCATGTGAGCATTTGATGATCTTATAAAGGCAACATAGCAATGTTTGTTAACCTTCTAAACACATTCTTGGAAACAAGGGCAGTGAGATCAATGCAGTCTGTGAATGAGGCAGCCCTGCAAGGCATTGTTGAGCTGCTGCTTGATGATCCGGCAAGTTGCATGCCTGAACTCCATCTTGTACTTGATGGTACAAAAATGGCTGGAAGTCGTTTTGGATTTGTGGACATTTTGTTTTGCCAACATCAACAACAGACCTCTTTGAGCAAACTCGAGCTGTCATCATAGAGCTGAAATAATCAACACTGAAAGGTCTTGAAAGGGTGCAGCAAATGATTCAAACAAAGAACTTACCTATGACAATTCAGAGAGTCTGATTAAGATGCTTCAGAATGAGGATGACTAGACCCTTCTGAAGCGGCAATATTTTTACTGGTCAGTGGAAGGTAAATGTTGGGTACTGACAACAGTGAGTGAGATCATGGAGGGTGTGAAGAGGCAGCTTTCTCAGTATGTTGAAACGATCAGAAAAGGGGAGGCAAAGCGGTGGATGGATTCTGGTATCCTGGACAATCGGATCAAGGGTTAAGCAAGGTAATGATAACTTGCAAGGACATGTAATCATGGTTGTGGGGAAAAATCGCATCTTAAAACACTCAACAGTACTGTTGAGCTCAAAATTTGAGTACCATGGTTTACAAATGTCATGAAGCCTGAACAATAGTAATAAATAGGTACTTGCAATCGTTTTCTTACTTCAGCTCTTACTGACTATGACATCAAGTTAACTAGATCGGATATTATATAAAAGAGTCTCGTTGAGGTATCTGTGATTAATACGCAAAGGATAGGTTTATGATATGAATGATCAATAAAAAAACGACGCAAACTTCTATCGTACATTGCCGAACTGTAAAGAAAAAAGAATTTAGTACATTCTAGAAAAGCTTAAACTCCAAACAAATATGAATAATACACTAGTATAGAGCGAAAAGCCTTTGACCAATAAACCCTACTCCACTTTTACTCTAAACGAGACTAACGAACGCAAGTAACGAAATGTCAACTAATCTCACTGATCAACTTAGGGCCAGAGTTATTGAATGAGTGACAGGTAACTTACCTCTAAGCGCTTGTGTTCTTTTACTTCAATCAGTCACTGTTGATCGGAATGGGGCACGTGAACATTTTGTGCCCAATCGTGAGCAGTCGCGTCAACGCTACAATAATCAGCTTTATCTCCTGTTACAAGATAATTATCATCTACCAATTTCCTCTGTTGTTCTGCTAATTTCGTATTTTTGTTGTAATAGTTTCTCTCTAATTTGGCCTTAACCAGATGTTCTTTGAATTTCTTTACTAAGTCTTCTGCCTCTTCTTCCTTGCGAGCATTATATTGTAAGCCGTTCCGAAAATGTTGACAAGTATCGCATAAATTCGTTCTCGGACTCATTATTTGAATATAAGGCGTTAATTAGTGCCATAACTTGCGAAACGTATCATATTTTAACAATTTCAACGAGCTATCCTTTTCAAGACCGGCAATAAAATAACGATAAACTGACTTGTAACTCGTTTCAGTTGGCAAAAGTGTAAGCGATTGCGCAATTCGATTAACATTTCGGGACTTGGCGGTACTCGCTTGATATTAGCGTGAATGCGCGGTAGTGCGACCAATTCCCAACAAAGTGGAGTACTACGATCTCAGTAGTAAAACGTTCGCTTATTAGTGCGCGTTTTCTTTTAAGACGTCGGCTGGCAGCTATTCTCCAGCATTGTTTTTAGTTGGGCCATTAAAAATATGTCTTGTTCCGATCTAGAGAGAACTTGAAACGCTTCACGTAATTCGGTAAACCTTTCTCTCGAAATCTTTTTTGAGCAACCACAATTGCAACCTAATTCCAAGAAACGTATGGCTTTGTCATATTTAGTTGAACCGTTATATTCGTTATATATACGGGTAAATTTTATCAATAATTTTCAAGTTCAATTCTTCGTATGCACATACTTTCTGTCTATGCTCTCACTTTCATGTGCTGTTTTGCATACATATAAGAATTTGCGATGCGCAGACCGCCTGTAGCATCATGACATGTGACTGCAAGTGATGATTGAAGATCAGCTATACGCAAAATATTCGAGCTTGAACGCGCAAAAAAATTCGTTCACCTATTCTTGTCAATATACTGTACGTCTTCACAAGGCAAGTATATGATTTTATTTTATTGTTATGCTATCAGTCGCGCGCATCCCTACTGGCGTATGGCCATTGCTTCCTGCGTTGGATGTTTGGTGCTAGTCTCCGGGGAAGTACCGTAGAGCGCTGACTAAAGTACCCCCCTATGTATAGTACCCTGCAGCAGTTTAGACCGATAAAATTGTAAAAGACCCGGGTATTATACAAATCAAATA